GAAGACAACTGTTAATGAAGTTCTGCAGTTTGTTTGAGATGCTCTTTATGACACGCCGTCTCTGATCCGTATAGTGAGTAGCACTGACTTCACATTGGAGTTGAAAATCCGGATCTGATTTTTGATGCTGAATAGTGCTGTTGACCTCCACACAGACTTGAGAGTAGTGAAAGGTTGTCTTGATTTTCCGATTCTTGCTTTGATATCCTCGTCAGTTCCTGCCGCCTGTCAGTGGCACGGCGGCTAGGACGCTTGCCGACCATACACATGGTCTGGGGTTCGATCCACGGCTACCGACGCACTCCTCCTTTACCTCGATAAGTCAGTAATAAAGCTGGTAAAGAGGAAAGGTTGGGCATGAGGCTAGAAACCTCATCCTGTAAAAATTAACACTGCTACAGAAACTTCAAGCCTCTAGTTCGGAGCCCTATGTTCCACTGGGAACGTGAAGGAAAAGAAAACAGAAAAGTTTTAACATACTTGCAAATTTTACATCATGTCAGTTGACAGATAGCAGGTTCCGAACTTAGTGAACAGTGCTCAGAAAATTCCGCTGACATGGGTTTTTGCACAGGGAGTTCAAGTTGAAACAAAGTAAATGTATGCATACAATGGCAACCGAGTTACGTAATAAAGACAAGAGCTTAAAGCCAAAGATTACATAATCAGATGAAAGGGAGAGAGAATAAATACATCCATTTACCAGGACGAGCAAGCGAGAACTGATAATTTGAACAGTCTTTCTGAACACATAAATCGGGTTTTAGGCGTTTGATAGAGATTTCTCTGGCAGACAGACGTAAGGAGAATTGCACCTTTTTGTCTACTGATAATTTTAAAAGAATTTACAATTTCCACCTTATAACCCGTATCAAGGAGATACCTGGTAATGGCACTATTGTAAGCGTTTTTGTTCCCTAGACACGTAGGCTTTTCGGTACATGTTCAGGAAATTAGAGGTGTTTGTGCCCTTTTTCTTTCTGTTCTCCTAATGTAACTAACTGCTTCCACACAGGTAAACGTAAATTTGTATACACAGTCGGGGTTGTTAACATGAGATGGGTGGGTATCTGTCGACTTTCGACTGCACCAACAAGCCTGCTGTCTGATAGACGGGAACCAACTTAGCTGCAGGAGAGGCTGTGGTTAGTGAAGCGCTCAATCTTCAGTTGAGTATTGCTGCAATTCTTTCACCTTTAAAGTCAAGCTGAATGAAGGCAGGCTTTTTCCTCACTGTGATTCGTTTGATTTTTGAACATTCACATCTGCCGTACTTGTTAATGAATCCCTGCGGGTAGTCGTTGTTTTTCATACCTTTTGCTTAAATTTCCTTGCACGACATAGTTCCTCAAAAATCATACTTATACAACTAATAATAAATCCAAGTGTAATCACGGACTGATTTCAGTCAGAGAACCAACTATTTCGTCCCAGTTTGGAGCTCGTCGGCGGCGCATACCCACCGAATTTCAAACTCAGGACCTTCCTAGTACAACACAAGCTCATAGATCTTCAAGCCATTTCGGACCCATCGCAGTAGCCAGTCCACAAATTCTAACTTCCACCAATTCCTAATTTTAGCGCGACCACCAGCAAGTATCATAGCTGGCAAGTATTCTTCCTTATTCTCAACCAGGCAGATCCCACAGGTCGCGACTTCCCAATAAAGAACTCCAGGTAATTTCATCCTGCAGCCAGTCGCTAGCCGATGAGTCCCAAACAAGGGCGAAACAGCTTGGAGTCTGGTACTCACAGTTGGTTTTCACCGGTTCTCTAACTGACGTCAATCCCTAATCAGACTTCAAACAACAAATCAGTTCCCTAAAAATAAACTCTTGAAGATGATGAATTCGTTGAAGTCCGTCACCTCGCTGACTGTTTTTTTCTGTTTTTCAGTGTGTTACAATGGGAACTGTTAAATTATTACAAGAATAAATTATTATTATATTATTGTTCCCTTTGGTTCCTAGTGGAAAATAGGGCTTCAACTCCTCGCCTCCACTGGCTTCCGCATTCTGCCGTACTTTTCATCCATACTGCTTCAGGTCTTCTTCACACGATCTCCTCCATGTCATCCTTGGACGTCACACTCGCCGCTTCCCTTTCGGGTTCCACTCAATGGCCTGACGAGCGATGTCACCCAACGACCTCCTCAGCGAGTGTCCAATCCATCTCCACTTTCTCCTGCATATTTGTTGAGCGATTGGTTCTTGTTTTGTTTGTTCCCATAGCTTCTCGTTGGTGATTCTTTCCGGCCATCTGATCTTCAGTATAGAGCGAAGAAGACAGTTGTTGATAAAGGTCCGCCTGCAACCTGTTGTAAATATTCTTTGTGACCCGTCAAGTTTCTGATCCGTATAGAAGAAGTGACTGACTTGACGTTTGTATTGAAAATCCTTATTTTGTTGTTGATGCTGAGTTGAGTGACGAAGATTTCCAGATTGGTTTCAGGTTGATGATTGATTTTCTCGCCTTTCTTTGATTCTCGATTTGACATCCTTGTCCGTCCGCTTCTCCTGTAATTGAGACAATGCTCCCTAGATAAGTGAATGAAGTAACCTCTTTCAAATCCCTCCCCCGGTTGATGGTGATTGGCGCTGGATGTTGCTGCTGTTGTTGTTGTTGGTGGTTGGTTGGTTATTTTCATAACCTCCGTCTTGTCTGTGTTCACTTGGAGTCCTGTCTTCTCTGGATGCTTCTTCGACCAGTTTGTCGGTTTTCGCTTGTAAGTCTTCTATTTTGTGTGACATCAAACATAAATCATCCACGCGCGAAATCCAGGTCTTCTAGGTTCTCCACGTCGGTCCAGGATATCCCTGTCTTCTCGTTTCCCACTGTCAGATGCATAATCCTTTCCATCACAATTAGGAATATCATTGGTGATTATTAGCACCCTTGGAGAGACAGTAATCTATTCCAGTCACCCAGAGGACAACCACGAGCACCGGGAGGGAGTGGCCATCATGATGTTACCAACAGCAGCGTTGCAGTTTCTGTAGCAATTTGGTTAGGTTTTGGGGGTGGAGTTGCTAGCACCACGCCCCAACCCTCTCTCTTTATACGAGCTTGGGACCGGCTAGAAAACTAGCGAGCTAGTAATGTAGGCGAGGTTAGTGTGTTACAATGGGAACCGTTAAATTGTTAAAAGAATATATATATTGATTTGGGATTATAAATGGTCAAAAATTAGTTTAGCGTGGAATTGAAAAGAAACAAGGTTCATTTTGTCTAAACATTTTTTTCACTGCTGACTTTCCCTATGACGCAATATACAGTCTATACGGCATTTTATTCTGTAGTCAGAGGCAGACATACAGTATATGTTATATAAATAGACATTGTGTAATAAATTCGATTGTTACGTTATAACTTTTTTTATCTTATTATTACCACTGTCTGTCTTTTCTTGAGCGAGAATTCACCTTATCATTGAAAGTCTAATTTCTGTTACATAAGAGAGGTGGCGTTCAGTGAGGAGTTACTCTATTGAGTGATATCATTCTCAAGCTGTACTATTCTATATATGCATATGGAACATTCTCATGGCAATAAAAGGAATGTTTACAAAGTTGTGTCATTAAAATTGTAAGTTCTATATGACAATCACTTGATACACGTTTATCGTGTGGAATTCCGCTGATCGAGAGGTATATTACCAATGTTTGGCTGAGAAGGGAAGGTTGGGAAAATACGTTGCACTGATGAAGGCACTCTTATCGCACTCATGTAATAACCAGCCAGGTGAGAGGCTGCAGAGAGTTGTCATAGGAAGTGGTGACAACCCGTGATGTCCGTCATGGATACCCTGCCCGCTGTCCCCATTTCTATTCAATTTTGTCACAGATGTACTAATGGACTTTACCCTAACTGACTTCAATGACTCAAGGATTAATTGACTACCAGGAAACAATCTTGTTGACTTAGAATATGCGGATGATATAGTTCTTCTATGTGAGGACGCTGACATAATGCAGAGTCTTCTGAACATTTTGAGAAGCAGCAATCTCCGAATGCTTGGCATGCAATTCGCTCTCATTGTCAAATGTAAGATGATGCCACAGGATTGGAATACACTAACTCCTAGCCTAAAGATTTTTTTATTCCTTCTCGTTCCCAGTGGAATATAGGGCTTCAAGCTGCAGGCTTGAAGTTTCTGTAGCAGAGTTTAGTTTTACAGAATGGGGTTGCTAGCCTCATGCCCAACCTTTCCTCTTTACCAGCTTTATTACTGGCTTAGCGAGGTGTAAAGGAGTGCGTCGAACCCCGGACCATGTGCATGGTCGGCGAGCATCCTAACCGCTGTGCCACCGACCTACAGCCTAAAGATAAGGAGTGAAATGGTTAACCGCTTCACTTATTTGGGGAGTTCCATCAGCCACAACGACACTTTTATTTACTGTCAAAGGAGAAATGCATTACAAAAGTGTTCAGTAGTAGTGTCAAAATACTCGTCAACCACATGAGGTGTCCTTGTTCGCTTCCCAAGCAACGCACTCCAGAAGCTCGCCTAACTTTACTTGAGCATAAGGCCTGGCAAACGTACTCTGGTAAACCAAAACCACCGCTTCAGAAATATCAAAACTCATAACTTGAGGTCGTATATTCCATTTTTGACATAAAAAAACTATTAGTAAAGATGGTTGAAAAGTTGTTCTGTTGCCTGAATAAGGATTATGAGCAATAAACTATTCTGGGAACAGAAAAACACTTTATCACTGAGATCTTTTACACCAGATAACAGTAATCAAAAGAAAGCGATTAAATTGACCAACTGACCAATAGAAATAATACGATAATTAACGCCTACGCATTGTGTATATATTACACATGTATACATGCACACACATACATTCATACATATTGATAGGTATACAGATACATAAGTAGTTAGATAGACAGACAAACAGCCACTTTAAGGTCATTCGTTGACATTTCTACAGAAGTAGTTGTAGTCGTAATATAAATATCTATAAAATTATAATGACAGTCACCAGAGGATATTTCTTGCATAAGTGAAGATCGTTTGAAGGTGTCTATACATCAGAAGCTCTGGTGACAGAAATCGAATACTATTTGGGAATTATTATACTTCAAATTGATAGTGATATATACATATGTAGCGTCTGATTTAGGTGAGTAATTTGGGGCCTTTTCCGTTTATGTATTACTCATTTTTTTATTGTGAAGAGCGGTTCTCTCGTTAGTTATATTTAATCACGTAAAAGGTGTGTCCTTTTTTTGAAAATGCGCTCAGTTTAATCTATGAGTAATTCTATGTGATTGTAACGGTTCTTGAACAGATTATAGAATATCAGTATAGAGAAAATTCCCATTTAACACATATTTTATTTTTCTATAGTTGGTTTGTAAGGATTAATTTTAATTTTTTACGAGTTAATCACGGATTGATATCACAGTTAGAGAATCATTGAAAACCAGCCCCAGGGAGTACTGGATAGCCAGCTGTTTAATCCTAGTTTTGGGAATCATCGGCAGTACGCACCCACTGCCAGGGTTCGAGCCCAGTACCTTCCGGTTACAAGGCCTGGGGGTCGCACTAAATCACAAATTGGTAGAAGTTAGAATTCATGGACTAACCATTGAATCGGGTCCCCGTTGTGGCTGAATGGTATACGAGCTTGCCTTATAACCAGAAGGTCCTGGGTTCGGGGCCCGTTGGTGGGTGCGTACTGCCAATGATTCCCAAAACTAGGATGAAACAGCAGCTGTCCAGTACTCCCTGCAGCTAGTTTCCAATGGTTCTCTAACTGATATCAATCAGTGATCAACTCGTAAAAACAGATTTTATTATTATTATTATTGTTATAATTCCCTTGGATCTCGAATGGAATATAGGGCTTCAACAGGATATCTCCACCTTTTTCAATTCTCTGCAGTCCTCCTCCTCACGCGATATCCTGCATGTCACCCTCAAGGCGATGTCCAACTCGTTACACGTTCAGGTTCTACTCGACAGCTTGACGCGTGGGGTGACCCAACGATCTTCTCAACATTTGCTCGATCCGACCCCATTTTTTCCGGCTTATTTGTTGAGTAATCGGTTCTTGAGTGGTTCGTCACCAGGGTATCTTGTTGCTAATTCTTTCTCGCTTGCACTCTGGTCCTAATTGAGTATGGAGCTAACGATGGTAGATGTTGCTAAAGAGTCTGCAGTAGCCTGTCAGACAGTTAGGAGATGGTAAGAAATGAAAGACTGAGCTAGCAAAGAATATTCTTTTCGACAACTTCTTCCTCACCTAACTCTAAAGTTTTTCTAAAGAGAATAATCCTTATTCATAACATTAGTGTTCTTGTTTGAATAATAATATCGAGTTGTTGAGATCAACAGTTACAGTTCACAAAAGTACATGTATGTGATAATATGCATAATAATAATAATAATTTTCTATAGTTTGGTTTGTAAGGGTTTGTTATGTCTATACGAGTTGATCACGGACTGATATCAGTTAGAGAACCATTGAAAACCAGCACTAGAGTACTGGACAGCTGCTGTTTCATCCTAGTTTGGGAATCATCGGTAGTACGCACCCACTGGGATTCAAACCCAGGACCTTCCGGTAACAAGGCAAGAAAATTATTCTGATGCTCTCTAGTGACTTGCTACAGGATGGAGTTTCCTGGAGTTCTTCTGAGAAGTCGTGACCAGTTAGGTCCAATTAGATGTCACGTCAACCAACGACAATAGATGGGGTCGCGCTAAATCACGAATTGGTAGAAGTTAGAATTCATGAGCCATTGAATCGGGTCCCAGTGGCTGAATGGTATACGAGCTTGCCTTGTTACCGGAAGGTCCTGGGTTCGAACCCTGACCGTGTGTGCATGCTGGTGAAGAATCCAAAACTAGGCTGTCTGTTCAGCACTCTCTGTGGCTAGGTTTCCAATGGTTCTGTAACCGATGTCAGCTCATGATGAAATCCTCCAACATATCAATTTTAATCACACGTTTTCACAATTTGTGTCGTATGCATTTTATCTCTCTCTTTCTATCTATCTATCCAGCTTCCCTTTGTTGTCTGTTGCTACTTTCCATACTTCCAATTGAATGTGTCCGTTGTTAAATCGATAAACCAGGATTCAGTAATTAACCTATCTCTCTGTCTCCACCTAACTTTACCACATTTTAATACTCTCACTCTGTCCCACCTACCCTATTTTGTGATTACATGCAAGTGAATGCAATGCAGTGCAATGCACGAGTTTCTTCTAGGTTATTATACTTAACAGAGTCAATTATTTTATTATTATTATTGTTCCTTTTGGGTTCCCAGTGGAACATGGGGCTTCAACTGCACGTCTCCACTTGCTTCTGTCTTCTGCTGTACTTTTCACTTGCATCCATGTTAATCCATATTCTTCACACGATCTCCTCCATGTCAGCCTTGGACGTCCCACTCGCCGCTTCCCTTTCGGGTTCCACTCGAGCTATGGCCTGACGCGCGATGTCCCCCAACGGCCTCCTCAGCGACTGTCCAATCCATCTCCATTTTCCCCTGCATATTTGTTGAGTGATTGGTTCTTGTTTTGTTTGTTCCCATAGTTTCTTGTTGATGATTCTTTCCGGCCATCTGAACTTGAGTATAGAGCGAAGAAGACAGTTGTTGATAAAGGTCTGCAACAGGCTGTTGTAAGTATTCTCTGTGACCCGCTGGCCAAGTTTCTGATCCGTATAGAAGAACTGACTGACTTGACGTTTGTATTGAAAATCCGAATTTTGTTGTTGATGCTGAGTTGAGTGACGAAGATTTCCAGATTGGTTTCAGGTTGATGAATGTGTTTCTCGCCTTCGCCTTCCCGATTCTTGATTTGACATCCTCGTCCGTCCCACCTGCCTGTAGTTGATACAATGCTCCCTAGATAAGTGAATGAAGTAGCCTCTTTCAAATCCTTCCCATTGATGGTGATTGGCGCTGGGTGTTGCTGGCGTTGTTGTTGTTGTTGGTTGGTTATTTTCATGACCTCCGTGTTGTCTATGTTCACCTGGAGTCCTGTCTTCTCTGGCTGCTTCTTCGACCAGTTTGTAGGTTTTTGCTTGTAAGTCTTCAATTTTGTGTGACATCAAACAGAAATCATCCGCGAAATCCAATTATTTTAGGTCTACCTAAATTTTTATGTTACAATAACGTCGTCTAGAGAACCGCTGAAAATTAGAGGCTGCTAGACAGCAGCCTCACTCTAACCTGTGAGTGATTGGCACTTTGCTCTCATTACCCAACCTTTGATCTAATTCAGGGTCTTCAGGCCACTGGAACGGAATCCAAAGATCTGTGGGTTCTAAATACTGCTAATTTGAGATATATAGCACCACCTTTAGTTAATGCGATCGGAGAGTATTCATCCCTCACATTTGAGTAGGTGGTCTCCATATTAGTGATGATTTTTCACTGGAACCTGATGACAGCTTCAGTCTGTATTAAAGATGCATAGTATTGAAGTCTTCCACAGTAGGATAAACACAGTTGCCCAGTAATCTCTCGTGGTTTTCACTGGTATCTGACTGAAGTGATTTAGTTACCTTACCTGAAATCAATGAAATCCTTGCAAACCAATACTGGGAAATCGCTGTTTATTGTTTGTGTGTGATTGAGGGTCTAGACTAAGTGGATCAATTAGGAGCACATTCGATTGAAGGTATTACTATTATTATTCCCTTGGGTTCCAAGTGGAACATATGGCTTCAAGAACACATCTCCACTCTGTCTCACTGTCTGTTGTCCTCTTGAGCTGCCTGGTCCCACAATTGCCCATGATCTCTCATCTCCTCCGCGTCACACGATCTCCTCAATGTCACCCTCGCACTGACGACCCACTCGTTGCTTCGCATTTGGATTCCACTCTATCTCATTCGAAAGCCTCCTCACAGTATGCCCGATCTATCGATCCATCTCTATTTTCTGCTACATATTGGCTGAAAAATAGGCTCTTGGTTGGTTTATTGTCATCTAGAGTTTCTTGTTGCTAAATCTTTCTAGTCAATTGGCTGGCCGTTTTGCGTTCAGTATTGAGCCAGCCAGCAATGGTGGCAGCTGTTGACAAAAGTCATCAGTGGCTTGTTGGGAATCCTCTTCGTTGACAGGCATGCAGTACAAGTTTCTGACCCATATAGAAACAGTGACTGGCTAACTTCTCATTTGTTCTGAACAGAATCCGAATCTTGTTGTTTATGTTGGCTGGGTGAGTGAAGCAGAAGATTTCATAACTGGTTTCAGATTGTTGAAGGCGTCTGTTGCCTTTCCGATTCTGGCTGGCTTTGACATTTTTATCCGTGGTATCCGCCTTTGGTTAAGACCGTGCTTCTCTGCTGCATAGGTGAAGGCAAGAAGTGAGTGACCTCTGTCAAATCTCTCCCGTTGATGGTGACTGGTGCTGGTTACTGTTGTTTTTGCTGTCGGTGCATAGTTATCTTCATCACCTCCATCCTCTCTATGTTCACCCATTGTCCTGTCTTTGCCGCCAGCTGTTTCAGCCAATTTATTGATTTTCGCCCGTAAGTTTGTGTGACATTAAACATAAACATAAACCACGCGCGAAATCCAGATCTTCTAGAGTCTTCTTCTCGGTGATTCCAAGTAAACCTGTCTTCTCACTCCCCCTGTCCACAGTCTTCAGCATAATCCAGTCCAGGACAATTAGGAATATCATCGACTGAAAGTATCCTTCATCTTTCGCCAGACCGAAAGCTGCTACCTTGATGTGGTGGTCGGGCTTGCATATCGCAATGACCCAACGAGCTACACTGGCTGTAACTTATGTTCCTGTAGGTCCTACCATGCCAGAAAGGTTGTTTGGATAGCGGTTAGACAAAAAGCAGCTACCCAATCCAATGCCATGACTCAAACAAAATCACAAAATATCATGCCGGATCGGTCGGGGCCCGGATTAACAACGACCGCGCTTCCTGCTACCGTGTCACAGGGCAGAATTGATAAATATGCTACTGAGACACATCAAATAAAAAAGAACAAACACAAACAGACCGTGTGTGACCGGCCTCAAGCAGTTGTCCCCTGGGCTCTGCGGTCACGCAACCAACTTCTATGGTGTGGGCAGCCAGGAAATAACAATCACCCTCACAATCCGAAGTGTACGCGAAACCTCCCTAATCCACACTCATCGTTGTCTCCATCTTCATCTTTATTATCTTGCCTTCCTTCTACCAATGCAACTCCTCTACTTGATGGCTCTTCACTTCCTCTTCACTCTGTGTGCACTGAAAACGACGGAAGCCAAAAAACCACCGTCGATAGTCTCCTAAAGCCACGCCACCAATTTCATATGGGAGCATTTAATGTTAGGACAGCCAGCCAGCCATCCTCCATCTTTCTAAGCTATTCACATATCTACTACAAATATGTCTTAATTTTAGTTCACCTGCAATCTCATATATATATATATATATATGTATATATATTCATGTGAATAACCGAATATTGTCAACTGATTGTTCTTTTTTTATTTTCATCAAAGGTATGCACTTTTGTGCCTCTAAAACAATTAATTAATTTTCAATATTCACCGTCAACTTTTTTCTGCTTTTGTTTTTATTACTGTATGACATTAAAGAATTTTTATGTATCACATATATACATATATTTTCAAGTATTGATTTTGTAGGGATTTTATTTTATCGCTTGGACGATCTCATCATGAGCTGACATCAGTTAGAGAACCATTGGAAAACCAGCCACAGAGAGTACCGGACAGATAACTGTTTCGTCAGCTTAGTTTGGGGTCGAGCTTCTGGTTACAAAGCTAGCGAGCTCGTAGACCATTAAGTCACTGGGACCCTATCCAATGGGTACCCCATGAATTCTAACTTCTGGTAATTCACTTATAACCAAGAGGGTCCTTGGTTTAAACCCCGGTGGGGTACGTACTGATGAAGAGTCCCAAACTAGGCTGACGCAACATCTGTCCAGTACTCCTAGCTGGTTTTTCAATGGTTCTCTAACATATATATCCTTAATTTTGCGCGTTTATTAGTTAGCATAGTTCCCATGTCTCTCAAAATATGAGAATTGAAAAGTAAATAGAAATAAAAGTCAATCTGAACGAAGAATATTCTTTTCAATAACTCCATAATGGATAAGATTTTATTTTGATAAATCACACAGTGGTGTTATACAGTTTTATTAACGGATGACCACGTTTCGAGCACAAACTATTACTGCTCATAATCATATCAAGACACTACTCACACAACTTCTTTCCTTCATTCATATACATGTGTGGAATCGATTGGATATTGGAATAGAAATCAATATGAGATAATGTACATTCAGAAATAATAGTACGAGTGTTATTGATGCATTACAATTAGATGGGAAAAAAGACGAGTGTTTCTATAGTCATAATAAGTAACTTCTTAGAATGTTGTGATGCGTTTGAATTGAAATATAATTTTAAGATTATTTATTATTCTCTTCTCATTTGACCGGTGGTAATAATATCTTCCATGCATGTCTCTGGTATTTGCATTGAGTCATTTCTATTGCATGTGTTGGGTGTAGATTCACTCGATGAACCAGGATTCAGTAATCAACCTCTCTCTCCACCTACCTATGTTACTCTTTAGAATTTTAACCCTCTCCCACTAGCCCTATTGTGTGGTTGTTTGTTAATCCGTCAAGTGCAATAGCTGAGCTGGTTGACCCTGAAAAGATAAGTAATTTAGAAAAAAGCTCAGCAATTGCACTTCCCATCTAATTGTAATTGATCAATAACACTCATATTAGTATTATTTCTGAATGTACATTATCTCATATTGAATTTTATTCCAATATCTAATCGATTCCACACATGTATATAAATGAAGAAAAAAAGTTGGGTGAGTGATTATGAGGAATAGTTTGTGCTTGAAACGTCATCAGTTAATATAACTGTGCAACACTGTGTGATTTATCGAAATAAAATATTATCCAGAATGGAGTTATACTCTACCACCACCACAGTGCCCAAGTTTTATACTTATATTCTTTTCAATAAATTCTCTTCTTCAGGTTCTTACAATGATAAAATATTATATTTGTTTATAATCTTTACAATAATTGTCAATTAGGCGGCCGATTGCAATTTTTAACGTAGAATAACAGACTAGTTAGAGTCACAAAATAAATAGTCGTGTTTGTGTGACAAACGTGCTCTGGGCTGAATTCAATTACAAAATATTTCGGTGAAATGGGAGACAATGGTAGTGAGTGATTAGTCATACACACATAGAGTCATACAATGTGGGGTAGGAAAAATTGACAAGTCAGATCAAGGTTATACAAGATGTCATGTGAGCGGCTAGTACAAAGTGGCATGTATTAAAGAGGAGGAGATAGTAAGACTACAATGAGAGGTTCATCATGAAATGACCAATATGTGAAATGAACAAACAGGTGGAGACATATATATATATAGCATGTCCGGATAGTATAAATGGAAAATTCGATAGTATTGAGAGAATATTTGAATGAAGGGTATAAATTATGACGAATGTTAGTAATAATTGTAATAATAAGCAAAAGAAAAGAAAAGCCCAAGAGGCATAAAGGGAAGAAGCACTCCTGATGAGAAGAAGAAACCACAATCCAAGTTTGGCCACGGTAGGAACAGCACCTGAACGTGTTCTTATTTTGGATACAAAGTTTCGGTTTAGTTGGTCTTATTGCGACAACTTCAGCTATGTGTAGCAGACGTGTGAGCCAGCTGTATATGATAACGATCTCGGAATTTAGTATATTTTTTAAAATATTTTTGATTATAGCTTGATTCCACACCGTATTTTTTGGTACAGGTATGGAATTTTCAGCATGTAATATCGGCAGCCCAAATTTTGCAGGCCGACCATAGATATCAGGTGTGCGCCGGCAGGGGATCGAACCCATGTGGATGGCCGGCAACTGTGCCATCGACGCCTCATAAAATATATGGGAGCAGAAATCTACTTACCATTATTGCAGTGTTATTATTACTAGGATTCCCTTAGGTTCCCAGTGGAAGATCAAACTTCAGAAGTACAGGTTGATTTCACTCTCTTGTCTGTAGTCCTCTTTACGTGGCCCCGTGACGACTTCATTTTCTCCTCACATGCCTGACTCTTTGTTTCTTATTCATATTTCACCCGAGAACTTGTCACGTGATATGACTCAACGGTATCTCCTCAGTGTATTTCAAATCTACCTCCATTTCCTGGCATTTTTTGTTTATTCCTTCACGTTCCCAGTGGAACATAGGGCTTCAAGCTAGAGGATTGAAGTTTCTGTAGCAGTGGTGATTATTTTTACGGGATGGGGTTGCTAGCCAGCCTCATGCCCAACCTTTATTCTTTACCAGTCTTATTACTGGCTTAGCGAGGTAAAGGAGGAGTGCGTCTGCCGGGGATCGAACCCCAGACCATGTGCATAGTCGGCGAGAATCCTAACCACTATGCTACCGATGCACAATTGACAAATGAGTTTGCGAAATGAAATATATGAGTCATCGAAGGATTAAAACCAACATTGACCTTCAAACTAATACTTCAGAACTTTACCAAGTGACTTTCGATACCCAACTTGCTAACCGTGTTATCGCTTGTTTCAAATCATTACGGGTAATGTTCAGCTTATTAGATGGCTGGAGGCAATAGGCAGGAAGCCTTGGACCTAGGTTTCGTGCTAGTTGGCACTCGTCAGCAAGGCGTATCTGCAACCTTGAAGGAACTCATGTCCCTTCTGAGATTCGAACCCGCGTCACCCAGTGCTGCAGTCAGAGACGTTACCATTGAGCTATTCGGGCTCAGCTTAACTTGTAATCAAAATGTCGCCAATTATTAGAATCCTTTTTATCCATCTTCTATTACTTTTATTGATTTTCATCCAATAATTTTTATTTCTTTTCTTCTTCTTCTTTTTCTAAAACTACTTTTCAGAAACACTCAAAAAAAACCTGTAATCAAGATCAAATATTGATTATCCACAATAAAACACGCTATATATACAATATATATTACCAAAAGACAAAAAAGAAGAGATTTAGCATACATTTGAGTTCATGAAATGATAATTAAACTATTTTTATCGACCCATAAAAGTTATTAATAACTAATTATTTAATTAAATAATAATAGTAAGATAATAAACATTCACTGTGATTCGGATTAAACAATTTCAAGTTACGCACATATACACATATATTTTCAAAACAGAAAAATCAATAAATCAATAAAAGAAAATAATAGTAACAACAGTAATAATAATAATAATAATAATGATTTCCCAATATACTCTCTTTATCCTTCCTTTTTTTATGCATTCAGCTGATCACATTATAACGACTGTTAAACATTATTATTGTCAACAATAATACGATTAATAAAATAACAATATTTTGATATATTAGAATGACGGTAGTGACTATGCTTCTATCGACGACACATGTTACATAATCAATCTGTGCACTTCAACAAAGTACTAATTGAACTGACCAAGAGAAGTACAAACGAATAAATATAAATAAACTTCAAAATTATTGATTATCCAAAGAAGATATTGGGATCAATGCCAACTATGTAATTAGCATCATTACCATTAATCAATACCAATACAGCACGATAATTAATCGATATTAATATTACAAAACAATGAGTAATAATAATAATAATAGTGTACCAAATCAAAATCCTACCAATATGCAAATAACTAATTCTGATATCTACTTCAAAAGTAATACCAATAATAATGATAATAATACTGTTATTGGTCAAAATGATAATGTTGGCTTGAGTACCGGAGCTTTGGTCGGCTTAATAATTGGCCTTGTGATTATTTGTACAATAATCAGTAAGTTCTTTTTGTATTTTCATATGTTATTATTATTGATATTGGTACAATTATTGGGCGTCCCAACTGGTTGGTACCTTAGAGCCTCTAGTAGGACATCTCCGTCGAACTCGATTGTATGGTTGACTGCTTCATGACTTGTCTTCAGTGTTTCATTCCTGCCTCACATGATCTTCTGCAGGCCTTCGGCCCCCTCCCCCCAATCAGACGAACACCCGAACTATGGCTACCCATTCGACTCTCACCAGACAGCCTGGCGTGTCTTTTCCATCTCCACTTCTTTCTGCATATCGTTTAAAACATAGGGTGTTGGTCAGTTCACTGTCTGTCACAGTTCCTTGTTGCCTATCTTTTCTGGACACCTGATATTCATAATCGAGTGAAGCCGGATGTCGATGAAAGCCTAAGCATACATAGTGTTGAAAATAGTTTCTGTGACAGACTGACACTAATTGACAGTAATGATTACTATTAAAACGCAAACTTGGTATACCATGAGACCAACCCCCCTCCTCTGAGCTTCCAACTTGAAGTCTGATCCACAGGACAGTGGACCCGTGTGTCTACAGTATCCAGCGACCACAACAAGTTCATACACAATTCTATGCTTTGGGATTCTGGAGTTCATGTATACCATAGGTGTTTGGAACTAGTGTCTTCCAGCCCCCCCCCACTCCAGATAGACTGGTTTTAAGTGCCCTTATCTTATGTGGCAGAAGCATTGAATGTGTGACTATATGGAAGCATTCTGAAGGAAAGACCAAAAGTTCTTCATAATCATTTCTGACACCCATGCCTGAGTGACTTTCATGTAATCTTGCAATAGACTTGACGATATACACATACCAAATCGGTGACTATGAGAATCTTTCTCCTTCTTAGGTGGTGGAGTGTGGTTGTATGGGGTTAAATTGTCTGTTCGTTTAAATAAATCGTTGAATTGCTGAATTAGGAAAATATTTCAGTCTTAGAACAGTGGGCATCAAATTCAACCAGAACAGAAGTTGTCTCTGTCGTCAGTAACCTACCATGAGAAGTTCAACTTCATCTCCTATCAGTAGTCAAAGCGGTCGTCATAAGTACTAGAAGCCCAGATCTCTTTCATGATAAGAGAAAACTGAACAGTCGTGAACAATTTTCACTATTAGTTGTTTCATTGTAGCTTACAATGGTGTTGATTTTTACTCTACTAATGGTTCAGTGATAGCATGCTTGTCAGCCACACTTCACCTGGTCTTGGATTCGATTCCCTGCCGCCGACGCACCTTGAGACCTTACCCAGTTTACTTACTAGGCTATAGTTAACTCGATAAAGAGAGGAGGTTCGGCAATTAGACTAGCAACCCTATCGCATAAAATAAACATCATGTCTAATCAGACTTCAAGGTTGGAGCCTTATGCCTCACTCGTAATGCAAAGGAATTGAAATCAGTACTACTGTAAACATTCCAATTTTGTTCCCACTAAAAGGATTGATTTACACCTCGACTGAAAGATGAAGTACCTAGACTAGCCACTTCAAATTGTATCTATCAATTCAACTGCGCTTGTGGTGGAGCGAGTTATATTGGCCGTTGGTCTAGGAACTTGATTTTTCGTGCTTACTCGAGAACATATCCCACTATGGCTAAGTAAAGGTGTAGTGAAAACTATTAACAGCTCGATATTAGACCATCTGGTGCAAACCGGTCACAAAGCCAGCATAGAAGAATCCTTCTCTAAAATATACCGGGTGCCTAACAAATTACCAAAATCGTCGAAGCACCACATGCTCCAAACAGCAAAGGCTATTGCGATTCGCCTCAAACAACCAGTGCTCTGCGTTCAAAAGAAACAAGTCCAGCCAGCCACTACTACCGCCCTGGTCCTCAGTAGAGACTATAAATTCATGAATTTGTACTATTACCTTTCCTAATTCTTCTGACATTCACTTTATTTTATGTTGATGCTGTTCAGCTGTAATTTATCAATATTATTGATTTGATGTTATTTAAACATTAATGTCGTTCATAAGACTAATTCATTCATTCATTATAATGTATATATAATTGTAGAGACTGATGATGAAGGGGTTATCGAAAAGAGTACTCTTTGTTCCGTGTCCATTCTTTTGAATATTTTTTATTGATTTTATTCCTTCACGTTCCTGGTGCAACATAAGGCACGTTCAAGCTAGAGCTTTGAATTTTTGGTAGCAGGGGTATTTCTTTTACTGTGTAGGGTTACTAGCTTCATGTTCAACCTTCCCTCTTTGTCATTTTTATTACCGGCCTACCGAAGTAAAGGAGTGCATTGACTGGAGATCTAACCCCAGACCACATGTGGTGTGGTTGGCGAACATTCTACCGCTTGTCCACCAACACAGTAATCTACACAGTGTGTTGTAAAAATAACTAGACAACTGGAACAGTCATTAAAGTTGATGTATTCTGTGGCTATTTCCCTGTTTCTCTCCCTCCATACACTTATAAAATGAAGCAGGCTTGAATCTATATGCTTATATGTAATGCATAACGCATATTGTAGATACAAAAGACTGAAAAGGAAACTCGACAGTAGTCTTGGATAAGTCTGACTATATCAAAAAATTCACTGAACATATTGAAATAGGTCCATATGAGGAAATTAAGAAGCCTGTTGATACAGTAATGAATAAGGTTAAAAAATCCACTGCGGAATTAGTACGCAGAATGAAGCCGTCACTGAGTGAGTCAAAATGGTTTAATTTATTGCCTAAAACTAATAATACTAGTAGCATGTATGCTACTATAAAAATACACAAACCAGGGTAACCCATACGACCAATAGTAGATTTTAGGAATACTCCGACTTATGAATTGTCAAAGCACTTAGCTCTACAATTATGCCCCATTAGAAATCGTTCAAACTCTAGACTAGCTAATTCACTTGAGATGAAAAATAAACTAAATGACATTCAACTAGAGAATGATTAAACAATGGCTAGTTTTGATATAGCCAGTCTTTATACTAATATACCAGTCAATATGGCCTTAGAAGCAGTTAAAAAAGAACTAACTGCGGATACTGAACTCAATCATAGGACAAAGCTGTCCATTGAAGAAATTATTTTAGGGGTTCAGCTATGCCTCACATCTACTATATTTAAATTCCAAGGCAAAATATATAGGCAAACTGAAGGTGTAGCAATGGGATCACCAATATCCCCTATCGTTGCAGATATGTTTATGGATAGCTGGGAAAATATGGCACTTAATACGTTTAATCCTACTCCAAAAATATGGTGGAGATATCTGGATGACACTTTCACTCACAGTGTTAAAAACAGAACATGTCTCTAGCTTCTTGAGACACATTAACTCACTAGTGGAGGGAATAAAATTCACATTTGAATCGGAAAATGAACAAGGAGAATTAGCTGTGATGTTAGATTGTAAAATAAAACGAATAGAAGAAGGTACACTAGACACTAGTGTTTATAGAAAACCAACGCATTCAAATAGATATTTAGACTTCAATTCATCTCATCCGTTAACTGTTAAGGCAGGCTTAGTTAAGTGTCCAAAAAACCGAGCAGTAGCGCTAAGTAACACAAGAAAAGACCTAAATGATGAAATAAAACAGATAGAAGAGGCGTTGGTTTTAAATAACTATCCTCTAAAGTTCATTAGGAAGATTGAAAAACGCCAAAAGAAAAATAAAAAGAATTGTGAAAATAGTAATAATAACATAAATAAGAGAGAATATAAGTCATCTACAGTTATACCATATAAAGAGGGGGCATCTGAGACCCTACGTAGGATTCTGAATAAAGCAGCAATTAGGGTGGCATTCAAAGCTACAAACTCACTCAGGTAGAACAAGCTCTGTAGGCTAAAAGACCCTGTTGACCCAATTAGACGAAATAATATAATTTACAAAATACCCTGCAATGACTGTCAGTGAGGTCAACTACATAGGTCAGACTAGTAGGTCAGGGGTAGTCAGATTGTCAGAACATAAGAATTTAGCTAAGGTTAGAATGGTTGACCCCACCCGAGAAGATAAGTAATTTAGAAAAAAGCTCGGCAATTGCAATGCATGCATTAGCACACAACCACACAATAAGGTGTGAGAGGGTTAAAATTCTAAAAAGTAATCTAGGTAGGTGGAGAGAGAGGTTGATTACTGAATCTTTGTTCATCGAATCTACACCCAACACATGCAATAGGAATGATTCATCACTCATACCCGAAATATGGAAAATAATACTACCAATCAAATCAAGTGAAAAACAATGGAACTATATAAATGAATTTAGGAAGTCGTGTGATTACCTTGATATGATTATGAGCAATAAATTGTGCTCGAAACGTCATCAGTAAATATTACTGTATAACACTGTGAGACTTTATCAAAATCAAAAATTTACCCATAATGGAATTACACTCTACCACAGTGCCCAAGTTTTATTCTTATATCAATGAGACTGAATTACACCAGTCACAGAGACCGAAATCATTATACTTGGCCATCTTTGTAACCACATCAGTTATCGGTCTATCTGGACTTCATTATTTCGGTCACGTGTTTGACAAGAATAAACCTGGTTATAATTCTGACAGCTGATTGATTGATCATTTTTTAAAATTGTTTCGTAGGTTACTATGCTTATTGTCCTTTCCACAAATTCATTCTTCTACTCATAAGTGGACAGCACACTCACGTGTGTACATGATAATCAGTCTTAAATGTTTGACCTCCTCTCTGTGTATCTCCCTTATAATACTTGAATGGATTAAAAATTCTATATCATATTTAAATACAATCACATTTTAAGAAAAGTCAGTTGATGAATGACCACCATATGGTCAATGAGTGAATACAACTCATATCATCCAGGTGTTCAATTGATGAAGAAAAATTGGAATACATAGAAGAAAGCAACGAAAATTAATAATTGTTCAGTCTATTTAATTGATTCTCTTATTAATTCATTGGATTAGTGATTGATTAATAAAACTTTGCACGTGTTTGTGAAG